CTCGTAATCGTGAAATCAATCGTAGAATTAATAACATTTCTGTCATGATTTTAGTTTTTGTGTTTAGTTTTTATTTTGACATTTATTTTCTCCTTGTGGCTTTTTCGTAATTAAAAGGCTCGCTTTCTGAATTCTAAATCTACTGCCATTTCATGTTTGAACCCATCCTGCCAAACCCTGACAGTTCCATCCTTATTTCAACACAACAAAAAACACAACAAGTAAAAATGGCAGCAACGTTGTTATGTTGCCCCTAGCAACTAACAATAAATCAACCGTATGAAGAAAACATTAAAATGCATTTCCTGCACCAATAATAGCAGATATACCCTAAAACTGACGGATAACCAATATCATATAACACGCTGTCTCAGTTATCTATACTCACCCTACTTCCTAATTAAAGGATCCACGTTAAGGAATGTTGGCAACTAAAAGCAGGAGTTTGTTGTTTTGCCGTTTATTAAACTTGTTACTTCCGGACTTTTTATTCCCTGTGGGTATTTCTGTAAAAAAAGGTCTATAAGTTATAATAAAAGTATCACCCCTGCTGAGGGAGAGAGACACAGAGAGAGTGTGAGCAGTATTTACAGCTCCTGTGTGAAGGCAGAGACACACACACATACACACACACACACACACACACAACACACACACACACACACACACACACACACACACACACACACACACACACACACACACATACGGTGTTAAACGATGTAACACATTAACGGTGATAAGTGTGTGTTAAGTACAGATGTGTGAAGAGACACCTGAGCAGAAAGAGGAAATGATTTTGCTAAAATGTTGGTAAGTGGGTGTGAATTACAGCAATAATTGTGTGTGTGTGTGTGTGTGTGTGTGTGTGTGTGTGTGTGTGTGTGTGTGTGTGTGTGTGTGTGTGTGTGTGTGTGTGCTGCAGGCTGATGTTTGCATAATGCATGATCTGCAGTCTGCGCTCATTCAGCTTCAGTGTGAGGGCGATTCTCTCTGACTGTAAACAACAACAGTTTGTTTACTAAGTCAAGGGTCACTCAGTGTCAGGCCTTTTGATAAGTTCAATATTCACATGCTCACAGTTAGACGCTGCACCATCTGCACGATCATCTGTTATTAATAACCCTCTCACTTTATTGGACTTGTAGCAGTATGAAGAATAAAGTAATGTCCTTACTTCTCCTTTATTTGTCCAGAGCGTTTTACTGTAATGGAATCGATCACAAATCAATAAAGCTATTACCTAAACAAACCTCACGCCTCGTTAATATTCAGCCTGCCTCACTCAGCAAACTCTGTGTGTGTGTGTGTGTGTGTGTGTGTGTGTGTGTGTGTGTGTGTGTGTGTGTGTGTGTGTGTGTGTGTGTGTGTGTTTGTGTGAGGGGGATAAAGTGAGTGCATCTGAGAGAAGTTGCAAGAAAGTCTATACATTAGTGTGAATGTGTGTTAATGTGTACAGTCGTCCCTGTATGTGTGTGTGTATGTGTGTGTGTGTGTGTGTGTGTGTGTGTGTGTGTGTGTGTGTGTGGCCTAGCATTACTATACTTGTGGGGACCTAAATCTGTTTACACAGTCACGTGTGGGGACTCGCCTCCCTTATGGGGACAAATTGGAGGTCCCCATGAGGGGAATCATTAATTTTAGGGTGAAGACTTGGTTAGGTTAAGGTTTAGGGTTAGGGTTAGGCATGTGTTGGTTATGGTTAAGGTTAGGATAAGTCTCCAGGAAATGCATGTAAGTCAATGTAATGTCCCCTGAAGTGATGTATACATGGTATGTGTGTGTGTGTGTGTGTGTGTGTGTGTGTGTGTGTGTGTGTGTGTGTGTGTGGGTATACTTGGACAGGATTAGATTTTCGTTTTCAGAAATAAATGAATTTTTCCAATTCTTACGACACGACAGGAAGCATTTTATAGACTAAGGAATAAGTGAATAAAGTAATTAAAATAATATAATATACAGTTAATAATAAAATCCAGAAATGTTTGAGACGTTATTATATTTTAAATATTAAAATAATAAATCTAAAAGCCTTTTTCTGGCTTCAAGGGGAGGTTTAAGGGGTCAGCAGAGTGATTAAAGAAGTCATCCCGAGGGTACCATGAATATTTAAAAAAAATAATTCAAGGCAATCTTTTCAGTAGATATTTCATTCTGCGACAGACAGCCCATCATATAGTTCATCATGCAGTTTCATTGGTCAGAAACACCTCTCTCTCTTTCACACTCCTGGAATAACAGAGGATCCGATGCACACGAGGTGAGGCTCTGCGGTAAATAGAGCATTTTAGGTTTTAGATCTCTCTTCACTTAAACTTGCTTTATTTCTTTTGAAATGATACTTGATGAGCAACTTTTAAAGGAGCATTGCAGACAAGATGTTCATTGAAAAAGTGTAAATCAGTGTATGAAATTATTACACACATCCAATTAGACACAAACTATTAATTAATGTGTACAAATCCAGACAATAATCCACTTGGATTTGCTTCTGAACTTGAATTAAGAAAGATACTTTGAGTTCCCTCTTCACACCATTGATATCAAGCATTTGATAGATTAGTACTGAACAAAGTGGAGATCATTTATATTCCATATGAATATCTTCTTGCATTTCCTTAAAAAAGGCTTCAAGCTTGTGCAAATGGGCTTTTTGTCGATTAATATACTTCACTTTTTGCATTGAATTTGCTGCTGAATTTGCACGACTGTTTAAAAAAGAATCCAACATCAAGTATCTGTGTATCAAACAGGTTCAGCTCCACCTTGATTTGAACTGTTTTCACCTGTTTGCAGCCTGTTAAAACACACACATGGCCGTACAGTACAGTCACATGTGGGGACCAAGCCCCCAGGAAGTGCGCCGGAGTCTGATGAGAATATTCGTGCTGGTCAAACGGCGGTACTACTCTTCTTTTAGGTTGCTGGGCCCGGAAACACTTTTTCCCATTGACTTACATGGGGAAAGAGTGGTCTGTAACTCGTTGGATAATTTTTTTTAAACTAAATAAACTACCCAGTATGAACACTTGTATAGCCCTTATTAAAAACATTCGTTCCTCAAGTTCTAAAAATGTGCTAATAACGTTATTCTGAGAGTTATTTCCCTCTGCATTATGAACGCGCATCTAACCCACGGGACCGCGCCGCCCGGCACGTTGATGTTACGTGTCCCGACCAATCAGAGCACACTGTGCTCACAGGGAGGGTGGGGGCTGGAGCTATTGGAGCTACAACGAGCGTTAAAGGCAGAGAGTGAAATTCAGTGAATACACGTAGTTTACAGAGATGCTGTTTGAGAAACCAATGTGAGTTGCGTTTATCTTTACCCATGGATGCACAATAAGAACGGATCCACATCGTCTTACTGCCATCCCACGGAGCTGTAATAATGGATATATTGCACATGTTTTCTGTAATTCATTATCATACTACATGGGCTGTATGATTAAATCTTGTACCGTAAATGTTGTATTAAATAAAGTTAATATTACCGACATTATTAACGTCCCTGTAGCTTCGTATTGCACTAAGAAGCTTATTGCACTGTATATAAATATATATATATACAGTGCAATAATTATTTCATGCTAAATGAAGCTCTGTTGGATATCACTAGATCATGTTACAGCGTAATATAAGTACATAACGATTGATGTGTACATTAGCATCATTACTAGCTAGCCGCTAGCTGCTAACTGCCGCCTCGTTCATATCAAATCCATGATAACAACAAATCATTACCATGCTGTCATGAACGTGCGGTGCTGTTATGTGTACGCAAATTGACGTGCTTGATGTGAACGAGCATTTTGGTTAAAGTTGCGCATGCTCTATGAGCGCACATACGGGTACTTCTCAGGCATGCTGGGTAATCTGTGACGTTTCACTCTCTCAAAAGTTGGGCCATTTTATCATCATGCGCCAATGAGCAACTCTCATAGGAACGAATGAGGCCCCGCCTCCCACGCTGTATCCAGTTCTTATTATACATCCATGGTGGGGACTCGCCTCCCTTATGGGGACAAAATGGAGGTCCCCATGTTACTCTTTGGTTTATAAACTCCCGCCCTCCACGGCTTTATAACATAACATATACTTCACTTCATTGTACAACTGTTTTTGGGTGGTGGGGGGGTAAGCACAGTTAGTATATGTTTATAAAACGGACAAGTCAAATCAAGCAATCTGATGTTTCTTAGCCGTGATATAATGAGCGTATATCCAGGGAATAGTTACTTTTCACAAGTCAGTATCCCTCCGCGTCTGAGAACCGTTACAACTGTTACATTACGTCCGTCACGAAACTAACTAACAAAGCTTAAGATGGAAACATTTAAGGTTAACTTGGACCCCCGGGGGGTCCTCACTATGGAGGGGTGGCTTGAGAAGTGCCTCCAGAAAAAAAAGCACCTAAACGACGACAATGCTGTCTGTCTAATATAGTAACTGCCCTTACGGGACGCTGTAATAAGTAAAGCGAACGCACCCGCAAGGACACCTGGCCTCCTATTGGTTGAGGGATTTTGACAGGATTGTTGCACAAAAGTTTCGAGCGCGCACAGAATAAATCTGAGAGCAGAAATGTATATATCTGAGTGCAAGCGTACAGTTTGAGCAGAAGCAGAGCAGATCTAAGTGCAAGCAGGCACTGTTTGAGTGCGAGGACAGGGTTTGAGGGAAATAAATACATAAAGTATGCTCTCAAATTTAAATACCACGCTCTTGAATAAAGATAAAGAATAACCCCCATCCCCATGAGGGGAATCATTAATTTTAGGGTGAAGACTGGTTAGGGTTAGGCATGTGTTGGTTAAGGTTAAGGTTAGGATAAGTCTCCAGGAAATGCATGTAAGTCAATATAATGTCCCCTGAAGTGATGTATACATGGTATGTGTGTGTGTGTGTGTGTGTGTGTGTGTGTGTGTGTGTGTGTGTGTGTGTGTGTGTGTGTGTGTGTGTGTGTGTGTGTGTGTGTGTGTGTGTGTGTGTGTGCTCACGTGGAGAAGGCGTTGTTCTGCCTCTCACAGCGGATGCCTTTGCAGTTGTTCGGCTCCTCGGAGGCCTTCGTCTCGTAGTAGAAGTACAGCTGGTTCAGACCGTTGGCAAACGCCAGCAGCACCTGCACAGGAAACAGTGTAACATCCTTTACTCAAGTAGAAGTACAGGTACTTGTGTTTAAAAATACTCTGGTAAAAGTAGAAGTACTGACTAAACTTCTTTACTCAAGTGAAAGTAAAGAGGCTTTGAAATGTACTTCAGTAAAAAGTACCCATAACTAGCAGCTGCTTTAAAGAGTACCTGACCTCCCTTTATATTAATAGAACAATAATGTCATTGTTAGCTAATGAATGTTTCCATGCTGAACAACGGCAACATGACAACGTTTCCATTGGTCCCTCTTCTTTAGAGAAGACCAGGAAATGATGGATACACGGATCGTGTTCAAATCAATAGGCACGCAATGACTCTAAAGAATAATGATCACGCATCAAACACACATTCAGACTAAAGGAACCAGCTGTTTGGAAAATGAGAGAAGTAGAAAGTACAGGTATTTGAGTTCAACATGTAAGAAGTAGAAAGTACAGGTATTTGAGTTCAACATGTAAGAAGTAGAAAGTACAGGTATTAGTGTTCAACATGTAAGAAGTAGAAAGTACAGGTATTTGTGTTCAACATGTAAGAAGTAGAAAGTACAGGTATTTGGGTTCAACATGTAAGAAGTAGAAAGTACAGGTATTTGAGTTCAACATGTAAGAAGTAGAAAGTACAGGTATTTGTGTTCAACATGTAAGAAGTAGAAAGTACAGGTATTTGAGTTCAACATGTAAGAAGTAGAAAGTACAGGTATTTGGGTTCAACATGTAAGAAGTAGAAAGTACAGGTATTTGTGTTCAACATGTAAGAAGTAGAAAGTACAGGTATTAGTGTTCAACATGTAAGAAGTAGAAAGTACAGGTATTTGAGTTCAACATGTAAGAAGTAGAAAGTACAGGTATTTGTGTTCAACATGTAAGAAGTAGAAAGTACAGGTATTTGTGTTCAACATGTGAGAAGTAGAAAGTACAAGTATTTGAGTTCAACATGTAAGAAGTAGAAAGTACAGGTATTTGAGTTCAACATGTGAGAAGTAGAAAGTACAGGTATTTGTGTTCAACATGTAAGAAGTAGAAAGTACAGGTATTTGAGTTCAACATGTAAGAAGTAGAAAGTACAGGTATTTGTGTTCAACATGTAAGAAGTGGAAAGTACAGGTATTGAGTTCAACATGTAAGAAGTAGAAAGTACAGGTATTTGTGTTCAACATGTAAGAAGTAGAAAGTACAGGTATTTGAGTTCAACATGTAAGAAGTAGAAAGTACAGGTATTTGTGTTCAACATGTAAGAAGTAGAAAGTACAGGTATTTGGGTTCAACATGTAAGAAGTAGAAAGTACAGGTATTTGAGTTCAACATGTAAGAAGTAGAAAGTACAGGTATTTGTGTGTTCAACATGTAAGAAGTAGAAAGTACAGGTATTTGAGTTCAACATGTAAGAAGTAGAAAGTACAGGTATTTGGGTTCAACATGTAAGAAGTAGAAAGTACAGGTATTTGAGTTCAACATGTAAGAAGTAGAAAGTACAGGTATTTGAGTTCAACATGTAAGAAGTAGAAAGTACAGGTATTTGTGTTCAACATGTAAGAAGTAGAAAGTACAGGTATTTGAGTTCAACATGTAAGAAGTAGAAAGTACAGGTATTTGAGTTCAACATGTAAGAAGTAGAAAGTACAGGTATTTGAGTTCAACATGTAGAAGTAGAAGTACAGGTATTTGAGGAGTTCACAGTACAGGTATTTGAGTTCAACATGTAAGAAGTAGAAAGTACAGGTATTGGGTTCAACAGTAGAATTAGAAAGTACAGGTATTGAGTTCAACATGTAAGAAGTAGAAAGTACAGGTATTGAGTTCAACATGTAAGAAGTAGAAAGTACAGGTATTTGTGTTCAACATGTAAGAAGTAGAAAGTACAGGTATTTGAGTTCAACATGTAAGAAGTAGAAAGTACAGGTATTTGAGTTCAACATGTAAGAAGTAGAAAGTACAGGTATTTGTGTTCAACATGTAAGAAGTAGAAAGTACAGGTATTTGAGTTCAACATGTAAGAAGTAGAAAGTACAGGTATTTGAGTTCAACATGTGAGAAGTAGAAAGTACAGGTATTTGGGTTCAACATGTAAGAAGTAGAAAGTACAGGTATTTGAGTTCAACATGTGAGAAGTAGAAAGTACAGGTATTTGAGTTCAACATGTAAGAAGTAGAAAGTACAGGTATTTGGGTTCAACATGTAAGAAGTAGAAAGTACAGGTATTTGTGTTCAACATGTAAGAAGTGGAAAGTACAGGTATTTGAGTTCAACATGTAAGAAGTAGAAAGTACAGGTATTTGTGTTCAACATGTGAGAAGTAGAAAGTACAGGTATTTGAGTTCAACATGTAAGAAGTAGAAAGTACAGGTATTTGTGTTCAACATGTAAGAAGTAGAAAGTACAGGTATTTGGGTTCAACATGTAAGAAGTAGAAAGTACAGGTATTTGTGTTCAACATGTAAGAAGTAGAAAGTACAGGTATTTGAGTCAACATGTAAGAAGTAGAAAGTACAGGTATTTGAGTTCAACATGTAAGAAGTAGAAAGTACAGGTATTTGAGTTCAACATGTAAGAAGTAGAAAAGTACAGGTATTTGAGTTTCAACATGTAAGAAGTAGAAAGTACAGGTATTTGGGTTCAACATGTAAGAAGTAGAAAGTACAGGTATTTGAGTTCAACATGTAAGAAGTAGAAAGTACAGGTATTTGAGTTCAACATGTAAGAAGTAGAAAGTACAGGTATTTGAGTTCAACATGTAAGAAGTAGAAAGTACAGGTATTTGAGTTCAACATGTAGAAGTAGAAAGTACAGGTATTTGTGTTCAACATGTAAGAAGTAGAAAGTACAGGTATTTGAGTTCAACATGTAAGAAGTAGAAAGTACAGGTATTTGAGTTCAACATGTAAGAAGTAGAAAGTACAGGTATTTGTGTTCAACATGTAAGAAGTAGAAAGTACAGGTATTTGAGTTCAACATGTAAGAAGTAGAAAGTACAGGTATTTGAGTTCAACATGTAAGAAGTAGAAGTACAGGTATTTGAGTTCAACATGTAAGAAGTAGAAAGTACAGGTATTTGTGTTCAACATGTAAGAAGTGGAAAGTACAGGTATTTGAGTTCAACATGTAAGAAGTAGAAAGTACAGGTATTTGAGTTCAACATGTAAGAAGTAGAAAGTACAGGTATTTGAGTTCAACATGTAAGAAGTAGAAAGTACAGGTATTTGTGTTCAACATGTAAGAAGTAGAAAGTACAGGTATTTGAGTTCAACATGTAAGAAGTAGAAAGTACAGGTATTTGAGTTCAACATGTAAGAAGTAGAAAGTACAGGTATTTGAGTTCAACATGTAAGAAGTAGAAAGTACAGGTATTTGTGTTCAACATGTAAGAAGTAGAAAGTACAGGTATTTGTGTTCAACATGTAAGAAGTAGAAAGTACAGGTATTTGTGTTCAACATGTAAGAAGTAGAAAGTACAGGTATTTGTGTTCAACATGTGAGAAGTAGAAAGTACAGGTATTTGAGTTCAACATGTAAGAAGTAGAAAGTACAAGTATTTGTGTTCAACATGTAAGAAGTAGAAAGTACAGGTATTTGTGTTCAACATGTAAGAAGTAGAAAGTACAGGTATTTGTGTTCAACATGTAAGAAGTAGAAGTACAAGTATTTGTGTTCAACATGTAAGAAGTAGAAAGTACAGGTATTTGTGTTCAACATGTAAGAAGTAGAAAGTACAGGTATTTGAGTTCAACATGTAAGAAGTAGAAAGTACAGGTATTTGGGTTCAACATGTAAGAAGTAGAAAGTACAGGTATTTGTGTTCAACATGTAAGAAGTAGAAAGTACAGGTATTTGAGTTCAACATGTAAGAAGTAGAAAGTACAGGTATTTGAGTTCAACATGTAAGAAGTAGAAAGTACAGGTATTTGTGTTCAACATGTAAGTAGAAAGTACAGGTATTTGTGTTCAACATGTAAGAAGTAGAAAGTTCAGGTATTTGTGTTCAACATGTAAGAAGTAGAAAGTACAGGTATTTGAGTTCAACATGTAAGAAGTAGAAAGTACAGGTATTTGTGTTCAACATGTAAGTAGAAAGTACAGGTATTTGTGTTCAACATGTAAGAAGTAGAAAGTACAGGTATTTGGGTTCAACATGTAAGAAGTAGAAAGTACAGGTATTTGAGTTCAACATGTAAGAAGTAGAAAGTACAGGTATTTGTGTTCAACATGTAAGAAGTAGAAAGTACAGGTATTTGGGTTCAACATGTAAGAAGTAGAAAGTACAGGTATTTGTGTTCAACATGTAAGAAGTAGAAAGTACAGGTATTTGGGTTCAACATGTAAGAAGTCAAAGTAAAAAGTGGTCAGAGAAATAAGTAGTGGAGTAAAGTACTGATACCAGAAAAATGTACTTAAGTACAGTAACGAAGTATTTGTACTCCACCACTTCCCACCTCAGTGTTTCCTCACATGGCAACGTATCAAAGGGAATTAAACCTCTCTCCTCGTGGATCTGACGGTACATTTAGTTCCAGGATTGACCCTGAGCGGCTGCAGGCGTTTTGAAACACGTCTTTCTCCTCAAACACATCACGGTACATAAAGAGCGGCTGCTGAGTGAGAGCGAGGCGCCTCGGGCTCTCTGGGATTGATTCTAAGACTTCAGGGAGCGAGCGGTCCTCCTGTGGATCCGGAGAGGGTTAGCCCCCCGAGACAGAACTAATGAGATCTGGATGAAACGGGCCTGTAGTGTCCTTCCACCATCAATGGAGCATTCTCTCCCTTTCTCTATCTTCAAACGTGCACTTTGACAAAAGACGTGTAGTTGTAATAGAGAAGTCTGGAATCATGCAAGCGGAGTCCCAGAGTTTGATACAGACATTGTTTGCGTTCAACTTCAAAAGAGAAATACTTATGTGTTGGCCTGTTAAAATGCTACCATGTAATACATTCAAAATGCTAGATGACAATAGTGAAGGTCAGAATGCATGGATGCAAACATGCCAGTCTCACGGCATTTGGTGTTATAGTCACGAAATTAATTTAATATGAAGCTTAGCGCAAGTTCAATGAGGAAGACCAATACCCCCTGGTGTTACACGTCACTTCAATCTCCTCTTCCATTAAGTAATCAGGGGCGTTACTCCCCAGCTAGCCAATCATCGCACCCGCTAACCCCTTTAAATCTGCTCTTCCCTCTCTGTCAGTTGTCATTTCAGGCGTCAACGCACAACCCTCCTCCACCCCTTCGCCTCCGTCTCCTAATTCAGGGCCAAGCTAATCCTTCTTCCTTCAGACCAGACCGAACCACTTATCACCACCACCAGTGTCTAGACCCCGGGGGGTTCATCGGAGCGGTTTTCCTCTCCCGAATGATCACCCTACAAACCGGGGCCTAATCTCCAAACATCAGTTCATTCATTGTTGTAATCTGTCAATCACCATTCTCTTATATCATGTGTCCCGGTAATAAACATGTATTTCATACATCACGTCTCTCCTGATTGAACTATTGATTCGTGTTCACGATTATCGCATGTCTTTCGTGTCACAGAACGACTTTAAAAGCAATGTTTTTCTATTGGTATGTGTCGTCGGGTCTTGGAAGACCGGAAGCTGTGTGGTTCATAAAAACATGTTCTTACTCAATATCTTACCCTAAGCCTCTCCCTTTCATTTTAAATTGTATAATATCGTTTTTTTGTCGTCCGCGAGGAAAATAAATGGCTCAGATCGTCAGAATACTGAAAAAAATGTCCTTCTAATATGTTATTATTTGGTACAGGCACGAAACATGAAATACAATCGTTCTGTGTCAGAATACTGAAATGTAAAGGATTTTAATCTCTTTTTCCTTCGGAATTTGTTATTATTTACATTGCTTTTAAAATCGTTCTGTGTGACACGAAAAAAAATTGAAAATCGTGTTCATCAATAAATTCATTGTGTGACTATAACACGAAATGCCGTGAGACTGTGTTGAACATGCTGCATGGCTTTAATAGCTGTACCTAACTTGACATTATACATTTGCACATATTGTATTTTTCTCTTGTATACAATTTATTTGATGTACTGTATATGTGTACTAGGTAGGCTAGTATGTATAACATGTGCAGGACGGACTTTAGATCATGGGCCCCATTAGTGGGAAGAATATCAGAGTATGTAGTTTGGGTTTCATGATGTTAACTCTAACCATTAGCATACTTCTAAGCTGGAAATGTGCACAACAAGAAAGTCTTTGATGTCCTAAAATAGCCTCTGTGCAGGCTACACTATGTACACGTCTTCCTCTTTAGTGGGAGACGTGTACATATCCTATAATTCCTATTTAAAATGAGTTTTCTAGTGTTTTTTAATATCTTGCAATAACTGAAATGAGCCCGATCTGTGATGTCCTAAAGTGGGATCTGTGCAGGCTAAACTTTGTATTTATGCTCCTTAATAATACACATGATGAATCTACAGGCTAGTATCGTGAATTAGCCAGTTCAGTTTATTTTGAAGTGGATATTAAAAATGAAAAAGGCAACGTAGGACTCAAATATAAACCATGTTCACTAACCACATGCATTTGGCATTTGAACCTAGTGTCAGAAGCAGTGTGTATATATGTATTTGAGTCGTACCAGGCAGTAGATGAAGAGGAACTTGAGGATGTCCAGCAGCATCCTCCCCAGGGAGATCTGCAGCGGGCCCAGGTGGGAGTTAGCGGTGAAGAGAGAGATGAGCCTCAGAGAGCTGAAGATGTTAGCGATGGCAAACAGAGCCTCGGCGATGAGGGTCGGGTGCCACATCTCCCACTCCTCCCTGGGCCGAGAGGAGTTATACTGCAGGGGGGGAGAGGGGGGAGAGGGGGGAGAGGGGGGAGAGGGGGGAGAAAGAGTTTATTACAAGTAAACACTCACGGTGAAACAGTCGGAAAAGTGTAAAGGTCCCCAATTATACTGTTTTTCATCAGCATTACCCATAATCCCCTCTGTTTCATCCCTTTTTCCAAAGTGCTGATTCTCTGTCTGTTACTTTAGATGAAAATAAGGAGCCCCTCCCCACGCCCCTCTGAGAGACATTTGGTTACAAAGAACTCAATAGCCGCGTTCACACCAAGTACTTTGCCGTTCCCCTATGGAACTAAGAGCCGATCGCGTTCACACCGGAATAAGTCCCTGGGGGAGGATTAGGCAAATGAAGCCGCTGACGTCACTTGTTCTTCTTCTGCTTTGGGTTTACTGGCAGGCCGCAAACCACTTCACGGCGTATACTGCCGCCCAAAGTCCCCGGCCGGAAGTCCCCGGAGTTAGGGACTGGCTTCAGTAGAAGCTGCTGGGAGTCCCAGCAGCTTCTACTGAAGCCTTCCGAGTAAACGGCCAGAACGCCGACACCTCCTCATCTCCACCACTCCCATGTTGGTTTTTTGTGTTGCCATAAGTTATTCTCTCTGCGTTGGTGCGCGGTGCTAATGCTAATGCTAGTAATGCTAATGCCACAAATACAATGGCGGCTTCACAAAACTTTTCAGAGTTTTACGGGGCGTGGTTTGCAATTCGCCCAGCCAATAGAAATTGGTACTTTTTTGGTACTTTTTTGGTACCACCTCTCTAGCAGGCACTAAAAATGGGGGTAAAAGTTCCCGGCACTAAGTACTCTTGTTGGTGTGAACGCGACATAAGGGATACTAATGGAACTAAACGGGGAAAGTACGGGAAAAGTACGGGGAAAAGTACTCCGGTGTGAACGCGCCTAATGGTGCTCTAGAGGAGATTCAGGTGATAAGGGGGGGGGGTTACCTTGGTTGCTGATTGGCTAATGGTTACACAAGCCAAAACATCGTTATGACATCATAAAGTGGCCAAAATCTGATCAGCTCATTTTCAGACAGGTTTTTATAGAAATGGATCAAAAAGAGAGAGAATCTTTTTTGCCGTCTGTCTGCAGACTTGTCAAAGCATTCATTCATGGTTTTTACTAACCGGTATCAGTATGTTGTTACTTCGGCATCATTTTGAAACGTGTATTACAATTAAATCACGGTCAAATATGTTCATTTTGTTGTAGTTGCCAACTCTCTCACTAGTTTAGCATACTCAGCCCGGTTGTTGGCCCGGAAAGAACCTCGATTCTGGAGAGCCAGAAAACTGTGTAAAAGGACCCGCTAGCCGGAACTACGCCGAGTGGAAACACAACCAAAAACGGGCCGGGTACGCCACGCTTAAACCGCGCTGTAGTGGAAATGCGCCATTAGTCTCGTCCTTTAAATGACAGAAAAGCACTCTAACATTAGGGTTAATATGTTTGTATTCTGTCTATTTATGAGTGAAATAAGAACATTTAGTGTTATCTCATTACATAAGATGAAGTCTTTGTATTAAGGTTTTCGTAAACTAAATGCTAAATATCGGGGGGTTTATGCATATCAAACGGTGATACCACATATAATAACTAATCAACCAATCGCCAGATGCCTTTGCACACATCCTAACAATGAGTTCTAGGAGCTTGAGGGGTGATGCACTTCGTAGCACTGATGTTCCTATCTCTAACCAACAAATATAACATCTGAGAAGGTGAGACAGATTTGATCGAGTCCTTGACACAGCAGGATAACTTCTCATAATCCACTGAGTCTCCTGAAGCTCGACGCTGATCTTTAAAAACACACTCTCCTCTCAATCCCTCCTGCTCACACACCTTCCTCTCCTCTTCTGTCACTTCTACACACACATCACTCTCTCGTTGCTTTACTCCCAGCATCCTCTGTTTCTGTGACTCTCTTCACTCTGGTTTATTCATCTTTCCATCTCACGCTCTGATTCTTCCTCATTCTCAATTAACTCTGCCACTATTAGCATTCACACACGCGCACACACACACACACACACACACACACACACACACACACACACACACACACACACACACACACACACACACACACACACACTAATAAGCTGTTGGCTCAAAAATATGTTTTACTTTGTCTTTTCTCCTTCAAATACTCAGCCACAATTAAAATCCTCTGGAGTGCTGATGGTCTCCTGCAAAATGTAACTATGTGTGTGTGTGTGTGTGTGTGTGTGTGTGTGTGTGTGTGTGTGTGTGTGTGTGTGTGTGTGTGTGTGTGTGTGTGTGTGTGTGTGTGTGTCAAGATACAGTTGTGTGTATCTGTATGTATATATGTGTGTTTTTAAAGCTGTGTGTAGGAGGTCCAGCCACCACCATCAGTGACTCACAGCTGCTGCAGATGGCCCTGCCGTCTGGCGCGCGCGTGTGTGTGTGTGTGTGTGTGTGTGTGTGTGTGTGTGTGTGTGTGTGTTGGCACCAAATTGCTCTTAATACATATATAGATCTTGTATCTATGGTGACTATCCTTTGATATTATCTGAGCTTGCATCAAAGTAAAACTCTTGTTTTAATTCTTCGTTCATAATTACCTTTAGTTTGCTGTTCAAAAAGGGTCAAAGGTCAATGAGTGAAGTCAACTAACTGACAGTTTGCTCCTAAATTCAGCTCATATTTATGCTTTTCTACAATCTGCGAGCCTTACAGTATCATTCTGTATTGTTTCACAACAATAGTGGTGGAAAATTACAAAAAGTAAAAGTATTGATAGTGCAGCACATGTTATTATTATATATGGTGTTTTTGTAATCATTTATTTTCTAATATACATATTTGGAGATGTTTTTTTTCATCCTTAATTAAAATGTTTTCTATAATTTCTTTACATATAAATAAAATAATATTATCCTTATAATATTTTGAGTTTTAAAAAAAATAGTCAGACAAATCTGAAGTCAATAGGACGTAACTTCTATTTTATTTTCTATTTGATATAATGCTTCCTTGGTTTCTCTCAGGTTTTGTAGGAATTTAATTTCCAGCATTTTGTGGATTTTTGATGAATCACTCATTTAAAAAAGGAGGAGAATTGTCTCAACACTTCCTCTTTTGAGGACACCATATCCTGCAGAGACGTGTATTTCACTGCACAGTAGGGAATAACTTATTTAACATATTAAATTAACAGTTTAATATATTTACTTTGAAGTAGGCCACTATCTTCAGCGAGATGGTGGCGAGGTACAGAGAGTTCATGGCGAAGTCCATCAGGTTCCACCAGTCGTGGATATATTCTGTGAAGCCTCCGTCCCACATCTCCTTAATCTCCGCCCAGATGAACCCTGCAACACACACACACACACACACACACACACACACACACACACACACACACACACACACACACACACACACACACACACACACACACACACACACACACACACACACACACACACACACACACACACACACACACACACACACACACACACAGCAGCTTCAGGCATTTGATCCGCACTCAGGTTTTATTTGCAATAATGTAGTCATTTTTCATTTCCTCCACATATCAAAATGTTTGTTTTGTTGTATCCGAGTGTTTGAAAGACGACAAAGGAGAACAGATGGATTTTAAAAATCACAGATGATTTGGAAATCTTCTGTATCATCTCAGAGAGAATATGGAGATGCAATCAATCAGTTTAAACTCTTGTGTCTCCCTGGGCTATTTTATTTGGACAGAAAATGCGATCACAAAGAAAAGCACCTGTAGCTGCAACTCATTCCTGAAAAGATCAACTATGTATGGCTCGTCAATTGATGTACAATAGTAGAGACTAAGCTGAACACTAGTAGCTTTGAACTGTTCAATCTAAGCTATCAATGTACCAAATGTATTTTTTATGTGCCTTCATATGTTCTTATGGTTAAATACTCACCAACCACCCAGGGGAGGATCATCCACTCCACGAGGGTGGGGGGGGGTCCCTGCATGTGGAGGTTTGTCCGGGCGATGTGCTGCGAGGCGAGCAGCAACAGGAAGAGGAACGTCAGGTACGACGCTGTGTGGCAGATGAACTTAATGAAGGGTTTCTTTATGAAGCGACCTAGAGCACTTTTAGGAGCCAACAGGTAGATCTGAGGAAAAGAAGAAGAAGTTTTCTGAAAGTGTTTTTGATTGTTAGCATGACATAAGGTCTGTGGTTAACTCAAGCTGAAGAGATTTTAGTTCTACTATATTAAATATGTCAGTTAATCTCCCAAAGGTGAATTTAAAAACAGAGGTTGCTAACAAGTGTCTAAATGAGACAACTAAACGTCATCACGCCCAGCATTAGCTGCCTTTAGCTTAGCGGTGGTGACGTGAAGTCATGTGACCGTGCTGTAGTTCCTTTATAGCCCAACATTAGCCGCCTTAAGCTTAGCGGTGGTGACGTGAAGTCATGTGACCATGCTATAGTTCCTTTATAGCCCAACATTAGCCACCTTTAGCTTAGCGGTGGTGACGTGAAGTCATGTGACCGACCGTGCTGTAGTTCCTTTATAGCCCAACATTAGCCGCCTTTAGCTTAGCGGTGGTGACGTGAAGTCATGTGACCGTGCTGTAGTTCCTTTATAACCCAACATTAGCCGCCTTTAGCTTAGCAGTGGTGACGTGAAGTCATGTGACCGTGCTGTAGTTCCTTTATAACCCAACATTAGCCGCCTTTAGCTGAGCAGTGGTGACCTGAAGTCATGTGACCGTGCTGTAGTTCCTTTATAACCCAACATTAGCCGCCTTTAGCTTAGCAGTGGTGACGTGAAGTCATGTGACCGTGCTGTAGTTCCTTTATAGCCCAACATTAGCCGCCTTTAGCTTAGCGGTGGTGACGTGAAGTCATGTGACCGTGCTGTAGTTCCTTTATAACCCAACATTAGCCGCCTTTAGCTTAGCGGTGGTGACGTGAAGTCATGTGACCGTGCTGTAGTTCCTTTATAGCCCAACATTAGCCGCCTTTAGCTTAGCGGTGGTGACGTGAAGTCATGTGACCGTGCTGTAGTTCCTTTATAGCCCAACATTAGCCACCTTTAGCTTAGCGGTGGTGACGTGAAGTCATGTGACCGTGCTGTAGTTCCTTTATAGCCCGACATTAGCCACCTTTAGCTTAGCGGTGGTGACGTGAAGTCATGTGACCATGCTGTAGTTTATTTATAGCCCGACATTAGCCACCTTTAGCTTAGCGGTGACCGTGCTGTAGTTCCTTTGCTTGTAACTTCTTTAACCTTGTGTCTGAAATATTGTACAAGTTTGATGGATATTGTTGGAAGCTCTTGTTGTTGTTATTGTCGTTGTTATTGCTGCTCATCTTCTCTCTGCTGGCAGCCTCAACACTGTGAGTCATGCCAGAGAGGCTTTAAACGGGATTGAATAACACAGAGAAATGTGTTTTTATTATAGAAACATTAATAACTTAATCACATTAAGGCAGTAGTCGTGTTAATGGAGTAAACACTTAAAGTGAATTATCTTACAGAGATAAAAGCATTAAGTCAAGTAAGAGGTGACTGCTGTGACTTGTCATGTGCTCTCTCTAGTCTGCATGGTGTTTTGAGTGCTTGAACGCACCACAAAGGACGTGGATCTTAAATTAAACTCTATACATTTCACCTTCCTCTCTCCTTTCCTACTTTACACTCTCACTTCCTCTCTCCTTTCCTAATTTAAACTCTCCCCTTCTTTCCTAATTCGTCCTCCCCTTTCTCCCTCCTTCCTTTTTCACTCTCACTTCCTTCTCTCTCTTTTCCTCCCCTTCCTCCCTCCTTCCCATTCTAAGTTCCTTCCTCCTTCTTCCCTCCTTTCTCTCCCTCTCTTCTTTCCTACTTTATGATCTCACTTCCTCTCTTCTTTTCTTATTTACACCTTCCCTTCCTCTCTCCTTTCCTACTCCAAACTCACTCTTCCCGCCTTCCTTCTTTCCTACTTTATCCTCCCCTTCCTCCCTCCTTCCTGTTTCACCCTCACTTCCTCTGTCTTCCCTCCCTTCTTCTCTCCTTTCCTACTCCAAACTCCCCCTTCCTTCCTCATTCTTCCCTACATTACACTCCACCTCCCTCCCTACCAGAGAGAAGAAAGGGAACAGCAGTCCGATGATGAAGCAGGTGACCAGCTTGACGGCCCAGTGTCTCCTCCTCCAGCCGGGGAACCCGTCGTACCAGAGCGTCGCCAGGAGCTGCTGGCAGTTCGGCTGCGCCACAAACTGCAGAGAGAGAGAGAGAGGAAACACACTGTAGTCTCCTTTCTAGGGAATACAGAAGGGACACACTGACATTGAAGGGCTTTAAGGTCTATGCCAGGGGTGTCCAAACTACGGCCTGGGGTCCAAATGCGGGCCATTTCGAATCGGCCCTCAGCTAACTCAGAAAGTATAAAGAAATATGGCCCAGAAATGAGTCTTGTCCTTTTTTTATATTGTACTTCTTAATAAGAAGTACAGGGGTATAGGAGAGGCTGTGGCTCAGTGGATAGTGTGATGGACTTCGAATCAGGGGGTAGCAAGTTTGAGCCCCACTGCAGTCAGCATGTCTTTGTGTCCCTGAGACACTTCACCCCAAATTGCTCCTGTGGGGATTGCCCACAGTACTGAATGTGTGTAAGTCGCTTTGGATAAGAAAAAAGCCCAATAACTTATTTGTTACGGTGTGTGTAGGAAGCAGCACCCAAATGCAGATTATAGTGACAAAGATGACTCCTTTATTTCAAGGCTAAATTAATCACAAAGACAGAACAGAACACTCACGAAGACCAAGTCATAACACAAGACAAAACCAGAACTTAAATACACACAAGACTAATTATACAAACAACACACAGGTGAGGAGGGAGGAGAAAACACAGGGACACACAATCGGGTAAAAAGACACACCAGGGAAACTAACGACAGGGAACCACGGACAAATCTAAAGACAAGACACAACGCAGACAGAAGCAGGCAAGACGGGAGGTGAAGACCTTTCAAAATAAAACATGAAACAAAAGACAGAAAAAGACAAGACAAAATACAATACAGACAGATCGTGACATTATTCACATAACCAGCTTGCCACCCTTCATATTTCCTCTCATCATAATCAATCTGAAGCTTCAGCTTTAAGAAAAGAAGGAAACCCTCTGGAGAGCTGTGATGTGCTGCAGCTCGTCGTATCTTTCTGTATGTGGCCCTCGGTGAAAAAGGTTTCAGCTACAGTTGAGTCATGAACTGAACATCTTAACCCTCCAACAATAATCAAGACATTAAACAAAACACATGGAACCTGCAAATGAAAGTCTTCAGAATGACACCATTTGTTTGTTTTCCCTTTTTTACCTTATGCATATTATATAAATTGATCTTGTTTAGCAACTGAAAGGACTCCTCTAATATCAAGTGAGTGATAAGGGTAATGTAAGCCTTTACATATGGCCTTGTATTCACACATAGAACGAGTTTAAGCACAAAATATGTGGCACAATTGTTTGGGTTCTCGATCTTTTCCCCTAAATATGGCAATTATTTTCTGACCATCACTTTGAATTATCACTAAAACACACAACGAATACAAAAAATGCTCTTTTTCATGATATTTACCACTGAATTAAACAAGTAGAAGATGGCGTGAAATAGAAATACTCAAATACAGGACATACAAATGTTTTTAAGGACAGTGCTAGAGTAAATGTACTTTCCACCACTGACTTGAGAGTGTGTCTGTATGTGTGTGTGTGTGTGTGTGTGTGCACATGTGTGTGTGTGTGTGTGTGTGTGTGTGTGTGTGTGTGTGTGTGTGTGTGTGTGTGTGTGTGTGTGTTCCTGTTATAAACGAGTGAGATAAACATCCAGCAGCTGAACATGTCTCTGAGAGCTGGAGGAGGCTCTGAGGTCAGCAGCTGTCAATCAAACGCTGCTGAAAGTGAACATTTGGCGGCTGCACATTTCAACACTTCCTTGTTTTCCGTGCAGAGTGTTTCGTTAATAATTGATCCTGGCTAATTCAGACAGAACATGGCGGATATGTCTCTAACCCTGCTCTGATAGAGTCCACTACTTATTTTCCTGACGACTTTTTACTTTTACTTCTTACATTTCTAACCCAAATACCTGTACTTTCTACTTCTCACATGTTGAACTCAAATACCTGTACTTTCTACTTCTTACATGTTGAACTCAAATACCTGTACTTTCTACTTCTTACATGTTGAACCCAAATACCTGTACTTTCTACTTCTTACATGTTGAACCCAAATACCTGTACTTTCTACTTCTTACATGTTGAACTCAAATACCTGTACTTTCTACTTCTTACATGTTGAACACAAATACCTGTACTTTCTACTTCTTACATGTTGAACCCAAATACCTGTACTTTCTACTTCTTACATGTTGAACTCAAATACCTGTACTTTCTACTTCTTACATGTTGAACCCAAATACCTGTACTTTCTACTTCTTACATGTTGAACTCAAATACCTGTACTTTCTACTTCTCACATGTTGAACTCAAATACCTGTACTTTCTACTTCTTACATGTTGAACACAAATACCTGTACTTTCTACTTCTCACATGTTGAACTCAAATACCTGTACTTTCTACTTCTTACATGTTGAACTCAAATACCTGTACTTTCTACTTCTTACATGTTGAACTCAAATACCTGTACTTTCTACTTCTCACATGTTGAACCCAAATACCTGTACTTTCTACTTCTTACATGTTGAACTCAAATACCTGTACTTTCTACTTCTCACATGTTGAACTCAAATACCTGTACTTTCTACTTCTTACATGTTGAACACAAATACCTGTACTTTCTACTTCTTACATGTTGAACTCAAATACCTGTACTTTCTACTTCTTACATGTTGAACACAAATACCTGTACTTTCTACTTCTTACATGTTGAACACAAATACCTGTACTTTCTACTTCTTACATGTTGAACTCAAATACCTGTACTTTCTACTTCTCACATGTTGAACTCAAATACCTGTACTTTCTACTTCTCACATGTTGAACACAAATACCTGTACTTTCTACTTCTTACATGTTGAACACAAATACCTGTACTTTCTACTTCTTACATGTTGAACTCAAATACCTGTACTTTCTACTTCTTACATGTTGAACTCAAATACCTGTACTTTCTACTTCTTACATGTTGAACACAAATACCTGTACTTTCTACTTCTTACATGTTGAACACAAATACCTGTACTTTCTACTTCTTACATGTTGAACTCAAATACCTGTACTTTCTACTTCTCACATGTTGAACACAAATACCTGTACTTTCTACTTCTTACATGTTGAACACTAATACCTGTACTTTCTACTTCTTACATGTTGAACCCAAATACCTGTACTTTCTACTTCTTACATGTTGAACACAAATACCTGTACTTTCTACTTCTTACATGTTGAACACAAATACCTGTACTTTCTACTTCTCACATGTTGAACTCAAATACCTGTACTTTCTACTTCTCACATGTTGAACCCAAATACCTGAACTTTCTACTTCTTACATGTTGAACCCAAATACCTGTACTTTCTACTTCTCACATGTTGAACCCAAATACCTGTACTTTCTACTTCTCACATGTTGAACTCAAATACCTGTACTTTCTACTTCTTACATGTTGAACCCAAATACCTGTACTTTCTACTTCATACATGTTGAACTCAAATACCTGTACTTTCTACTTCATACATGTTGAACTCAAATACCTGTACTTTCTACTTCTTACATGTTGAACCCAAATACCTGTACTTTCTACTTCTTACATGTTGAACTCAAATACCTGTACTTTCTACTTCTCTCATGTTGAACACTAATACCTGTACTTTCTACTTCTTACATGTTGAACTCAAATACCTGTACTTTCTACTTCTTACATGTTGAACACAAATACCTGGACTTTCTACTTCTTACATGTTGAACTCAAATACCTGTACTTTCTACTTCTTACATGTTGAACACAAATACCTGTACTTTCTACTTCTTACATATTGAACTCAAATACCTGTACTTTCTACTTCTTACATGTTGAACACAAATACCTGTACTTTCTACTACTTACATGTTGAACACAAATACCTGTACTTTCTACTTCTTACATGTTGAACTCAAATACCTGTACTTTCTACTTCTTACATGTTGAACTCAAATACCTGTACTTTCTACTTCTTACATGTTGAACTCAAATACTTGTACTTTCTACTTCTTACATGTTGAACACAAATACTTGTACTTTCTACTTCTTACATGTTGAACTCAAATACCTGTACTTTCTACTTCTTACATGTTGAACACAAATACTTGTACTTTCTACTTCTCACATGTTGAACCCAAATACCTGTACTTTCTACTTCTTACATGTTGAACACAAATACTTGTACTTTCTACTTCTTACATGTTGAACTCAAATACTTGTACTTTCTACTTCTTACATGTTGAACACAAATACTTGTACTTTCTACTTCTTACATGTTGAACTCAAATACCTGTACTTTCTACTTCTTACATGTTGAACACAAATACTTGTACTTTCTACTTCTTACATGTTGAACTCAAATACCTGTACTTTCTACTTCTTACATGTTGAACTCAAATACTTGTACTTTCTACTTCTTACATGTTGAACACAAATACTTGTACTTTCTACTTCTTACATGTTGAACTCAAATACCTGTACTTTCTACTTCTTACATGTTGAACACAAATACCTGTACTTTCTACTTCTTACATGTTGAACTCAAACACCTGTACTTTCTACTTCTTACATGTTGAACTCAAATACCTGTACTTTCTACTTCTTACATGTTGAACTCAAATACCTGTACTTTCTACTTCTTACATGTTGAACTCAAACACCTGTACTTTCTACTTCTTACATGTTGAACTCAAATACCTGTACTTTCTACTTCTTACATGTTGAACTCAAATACCTGTACTTTCTACTTCTTACATGTTGAACACAAATACCTGTACTTTCTACTTTTTACATGTTGAACCCAAATACCTGTACTTTCTACTTCTTACATGTTGAACCCAAATAGCTGTACTTTCTACTTCTTACATGTTGAACCCAAATACCTGTACTTTCTACTTCTTACATGTTGAACTCAAATACCTGTACTTTCTACTTCTTACATGTTGAACACAAATACCTGTACTTTCTACTTCTTACATGTTGAACTCAATACCTGTACTTTCTACTT